GTTAGTCTTAAAGGTGCCACAGGACCCTCTGTTGCTTTTTACAGATTCAGACTAACACGGCTACCCCTCTGATACTAGAAACCTTTTAGCTCCCATAAAAATCTTGGTCTGCAGCAATTCCTTTAAATTGCAACTGAGATTGTTTTATGTGTATGTCTGTGCACTTGTGTGTGTATAACAAGTGCAGAACAAACACAAGCTGATCCACAGAGGGATTCACCCTGCAGTTATTATTTTAATTTTCCCTTTAACTTTCGTTTACTTTCCTTTTAGCACTTCTCAAGATGCATGTAGGGCCTGATTGTCCATTGTTCCACCCCTTGCACAGTAATCGACACCAGTGCAAAGTGGATATAAGGAGCTACCAATCAAACGGGTATGATTTCACATCCACTTTACAATAGTGTCAATGGCTGCACAAGCTACAGGGTAACAAAGAATTGGGCCCTTAGGATTCAGAACTACAAATAAGGCAGCATGTGCACATCCTGTATCTCATAACATGATGATCCTGCCACACAAAGAGAAACTCTCTGCTTTCCCTCAAATCGACAGGGAAATATGATAACTGGCTGCTAGTATCTAAAGGTGTGTCAACAATATGAAATGGGATTTATACAACCCATGATCCAGCAAAACACTTAAGTGCTTAACTTTAAGCACCTGACATTGAAGTCAATGCTCCTGATTCCCCTTTACACCAAGACCACTTTACAACACTCTGCCCATGTAAAGAAGCCTTAAAGTGGGTGTAAACATAACTTATATCACTTTAAAGCAGGGGTCGGCAACCTTTCAGAAGTGGTGTGCCAAGTCTTCATTTATTCACTCTGATTTAAGGTTTCGCGTGCCACTAATACATTTTAACGTTTTTAGAAGTCTCTTTCTATAAGTCTATAATATATAACTAAAGTGTTGTTGTATGTAAAATAAATAAGATTTTTAAAATGTTTAAGAATCTTCATTTAAAATTAAATTAAAATGCAGAGCGCTCCAGACAGGTGGCCAGGACCCCAGTAGTGTGAGTGCCACTGAAAATCAGCTCGCGTGCTGCGTTCAGCATGTGTGCCATAGGTTGCCTACCCCTGCTTTAAAGCCTTTCTACAGAGCCAGAGTGGTCACAGTGGCTTCAGTATAAATGAGAATCAGGTCCATTGGGGCCACTCACATGCTTAAAATTAAGCATGTGCTTTGCTGGATTGGGGCCATAATCTGGAGTATTAAAATGAAACTGAGCTAAGGGAAATTTAGGCTCAATATCAGGAAAAATCTCCTAATGGTGAGAACAGTTAGACTGTGGAATAGTCTCCCAAAGGGAGTAGTGGAAGCTTCAGTGCTTGAATAATTTAAAATAGGTTGAACAGAGCCATCAAGAATATTCTATAGGGAACAATCATGAATGTTCAGTGGATGGACAAAGTGACCTAACCGATCTTTTCCATCTCTAATTTCTATGAATCCGATGAAAATTTATTAGACATAAAATAGGAATTAGAAAGAAATTTTACTGTTTCTGCCAACATCTGCTGCTGCAGAAGGAGCTGCTGCTTTTGCTCCATCATCTGCCTCTGCAACGCCTGTTTTTTTTCCATCAGTTGCTGATTCAACGTTGATTGCTGGGATGAGTTCATGTAACCACTTCCAGTGTTTGGATTTGAGCAAGTACTGGAACTTGGACTGGGGCCTGCACCTTGGCCTATCACAGAGTGTTGATCCTGAAAAAGAAGAAACATCTTATGAATGATAAAATGAATAAAATAAAATAAAAAATCATCAAGAAAAGGCAATGACTCTTTTTACACACTTAGATTAATAAAGATCAAGTGTGGGACACTGCTCTTTAAACTGCAGGACAAGAGACTGACAACAAAGGCTCATATAAAGAATCAAGCAGAGGAAGTAACTCTAATGCTGTACGGAAAGCTTTGAAAACCTACCATGTGGTTTCAGTGGGAAACCTTGACATTTTAACAGGAGTTTATGGAACCTCAAAGGAAGTAACTGAGCTGTCCTGGGAATTTTACAGGGAACTCCCATAAGAACACATGGCAATTCATATGATTACATGGCAACAAACACTGCATCTACTGACACCTAAAATTTGGTTAGGAACAACAACTATTATATTGAGACTCTCTATTAGAAGTGACAGTTATTTGTAACCTTGTTAGAAAACAAGAAAGTGGTTAGTAGTCACTTCACAGTGCAATGACTGGTGCCTTTTCATTGGCTCCTTCATGTTCCCTAGGAACAATCTGGGCGAAAGAAAAGAGTAAATTCTGGAGCTGCAGAATTATCTCCAGTTATAATTATTGATCATGTTTTTTCCAGTAGTGCCTAAGACAGTGGCGCATTAGCCAATGGGGCCCGAGCCCAGGGGCCCCGGCCCCAGCAGACAGCTGCTGCAGGGCGGCAGAAGCCTGGAGCCCTGGCAGAAGCGTTGGATGGGTGGGAGAAACCCCTGCACCCTGACCCTGCTCCCTGGCAGAAGGGCCAGGTGGGAAGGGCGAGGTGGGGGAAGCCCCCGTGCCCCGATCCTGCTCCCCGGAAAAGTGTCAGGTGGCAGGGGAAGCCCCCGGGCCCCGACCCTGCTCCCTGGCAGACACGCCGGGGGAAGCCCCAGCACCGTGATCCCTCTCTCTGGTAGAAGCGCTGGGCAGCGGGGGAAGCCCCAGAGTCTGGACCCCAGTTGTGGCCCCGGGCCTGGAGGAGCTCTGGCTTCCTGCCATGGCCTCAGGGCTGGGGGAGTTCTCACTCCCTGCTGCAGACCTGGGGCCCTGGCCGGGGGGACAGAGCTTCTCCGGTCTTGCGACCGCAGTGGGGTGTGGGGCCAGAAAGGAGCAAACGGGTTGCGAGGCCGCAGTGAGGGAGTGGTGGAATGGGGCGGGACTGTGGGTGGAACAGGGGCGGGGCCACAGAAGGAAGGAGCAAAATGGGGTGGGGCTGCGGACAGTGCTGCAGGCAGAAGGGGCAGAATGGGGAGGGGTCCCCCAGTTGCTCTGGCCCAGGACCCCACGAAACCTTAATCTCCTCTGGCCTAAGGGCTGACAAAGAGAAGCACCCCTTTGTGCTAGGCACTGTACAAACACAGAATAAGAGACAGTGCCTGCTGCAAAGCGTTTACAATCTAATGGGACAAGACTGACGCAGGGTGGGGAGAGGGGTCTAATACACAAGCAGAGGGAACAATGTGATGGCAGCAAACGGCATGGTAGTTCCATGAATTTTTTTTGGTGGGGAGTGGGGAGTTGGGAAGAAAGGAGAAGGGAGGGAGGAAAAGGGGTCAGAAGGTAAAGGAGGTGTGGAGTGAACCTGAGGTGAAGAGACAATGTGTGTGGGGGGGCGGGGTTGGAGCAAACGGCCAATCAGCACAAGGCACAGCAAGTCCAATCAACACTGTTGAAGTTCTCTGAATGTCCAGTGGTCCCTGCTTTGGCTGCTTCTGGCCCAACCGTCTGGCTTCTCTCTGTAGTTTTCCACACAAGGCCACACTGGGGTGCGAAGAGTAAGAGTAAGGTGAACATCTTTTCAAAAGGCAAAAGCAGGAGCCCCACCCTCTCCATGGCCCTGCCCTGGCCCCTCCTCTTCCCCTGAGACTCCACCCTCTGCTCCTCCTCTTTCAGCTATACGTGTTCTGTTTACTTTCTTGTTACAAACTAGACTGAAAAAAAGGTTTTGCTGACAGCAACATGCTTTCTGTTGAATCATTTCACCAGTAGACAGACTTCCACCCTTCCATAAATATAGAGAAAGAGCTACCTCTGCCCCTGTATTATCACACAAAAACCTGGAGCACTCCAATGCCACGTGCACAAAGTTGCGCAGCGATAGCTCAGACGGGCGCTACTGGGGAGTTAGGTACAATTATGGGGACATCATTTTCCTGACTTTTAGGCTCAATTATTACAACTCATAGAAACGAAGCCACCCAATCTGAAAAAGCTCCAGCTGATACAATATGCAGCAGACTGTCTGCTTCACACCATAGGTGTCCAAGAGCACATCACCCTGGTGCTCTACTGTCTGCACGGGCTCCCCCAGTGATTAGAGTCTAACTCCAGGATTCTGTCCACTGGATTCTTCTAGCTACTTGAGAGACCACCTCTCCCTCCATGACTATGATCTTCCATGACAGCTACATTCCCCTGGGATAATTATACTTCACCAATGGCAGAGACTCATGAGTGCCAGAGTCAGAACTTTCACAGGCACCAATCCTAGACTATAGAACTCACTGTCACAAGAGACAGGAATGACTACCTTGAGAACTACATGCAACGTTAATTTCTGTGACTTAGCTTTTCCTCAGCAAGTTCTACACACACATACACAGATACAAACACACCCACAAAACCAAAACATACATGAAAAACAAACTGTAAATTAATCCAATTACTTCTCCTACCAACTGGGAAGGAAAAAATACATTGCCGGCCACTGTTTGCAGTATTGTTATAGCCATGTTGATCAGTCATATGGGACAGTGGGGTAATACCTTTCACTGGACCAACTTCTGGTGGGGAAAGAGGAAAGCTTTCATGCTCCACAGAGCTCTTCTTCAGGTCCTTTGTGGCTCCTGAAAGCTTGTCTCTCTCACCAACAGAAGTTGGTCCAACAACAGATCTTACCTCACCCACTTTGTCTCTCTGTGGATGGTTATTGTTATTTCTAATTTAAAATAATTCTGCGGCATTCAGACAGGGCCATATAAGTAAAGTGTTTAACAATCTAAATATGACATAAAACCCACAACTTTCTTTTGGAGCCACCTGCAGCCTCCAGGGCAGCATTACAATTGCACCTCTGAAAATTTAATGGACTTTTACACAATTCTGTCTTGCACACATTCTTTTCAATTCAAGAAATAATCCAGAATTGCTCAGCCTCTGCCACATTCTTCAGCCCTTATGTTAGCTGTGAGACAGAAAGTATTCCTTTCCACAGACCAGCTTGCCAAGATGTTGTGCAAACTTTTGTACGTCTTAAAATATTTTGAAAGGAAAAATATGTTACAATAAATTGGCTTTGACATCCACATTCAAACTACACTCTAGCTTAAACCCAACCCACATGTTACATCCATTAATAGAATTCATCTGTTTTCTCATTGCACAGAAAATGCAGACTTCCCCAATGTATGCTTTTGAAATTCATGGTAATATATGTAGATTTATCCCCCCACTGCTCAGGTAACTGTGGGTTTTATTTTCAGATAAGCTGGACAGTTTCACTTCTCGATACCTAATAAATACTTTATCTATACCTAATAATACTTTAACAATCATATTTAGAATAGCAGTTGGCACAAAAAATAGCCATTTGGGAAAAAGACACTGCAAAAGCAGTGTAAATCATGAAATTTGAGCTGTTTTATTTTTCTTTGCTGTCCATGAAACGAGAGTGTTAGTCTATGAATCTATAATGTGTTATTTGTCCAACTTGCTGGTGTTCCAGAGGAGGCGATGTGATGTGAGCAATTGCCTAATAAATCATACTTGATGCAGAGGATTAGTTGTGCTGCAGACTGACCCTTAAAGAACTGGTGCTATTGGGCCTGATTCTCCTCTCACTTCTACCAACAGAAATCAAGAGTCCATACAGCTGCACCACTGTAAAACAGGTGCAAGTGAGATCAGATTTTGTCTAACAAGATATGGTTTTTTAAATATACATATACAGTGAGAAATTCTGACCTGGGTGGATTTACACTGCTGTAATTGAGAGTAGAATTTGGCCCAATATGTTTTAGATCTAATAATAACGAATATTTTACTTGAATTGTCTTTCCTTTTTAACTAGACACCAAGTATACTGGGCAACATTAGACCATTTCATCTTCCAGAATGGAGGATGAAATTGATGTTCGATGGGATTGGCCTGTGGAAGGAACTTCCTGCGGAAATTAGGCAAATCCAAAGTCAGACAGGCTTTTAGGAAATGCTGCCAAACCTTCTTGTGACAGAACAGGATGTGTCATTATCAAATGGTAAATTCTGTTTTCTATTAGGACCTCCATCTTGTATAGGGTGACCATATTTCTCCAAGTGAAAACAGGACACCGTGCGGGGCTGACCCAAGGCCCTCCTACTCGTCCCGCATGGGGCTCGCCTGAGCCACCTGGTGTTATTGCTCATCTGAGCCCCCACCGCGCATGGGGCTGGCCTGAGGCCTCTCGCTCCCATGCTGGTCTGGCCCGAGCCCCCTGGCATTGCCACCCACCCAAGCCCTGCCGCCTGGGGCTGGGGCTGACCACCCGAGCCCCGCTGCCCAGCATCGCTGCTTGCCCTATCGAATGTTCCTCCTTGTCTCTCTAAGGAGGCGCACTTTTTTTGGCAAAACTGGGCATTTGTCCCTCTTTGCTCTTGGCAATTTGGCAAGAGCAAACAGGATCAACTGTCCAGTTTTGCCAAAAAAAGTCAGGAGGTCCGGGACAGGGCTTAAAAAGGGGAGTGTGCTGGCCAAAATGGGACATATGGTCACCTTAATCTTGTATCATGTGCTGAACATATCTAACCTTTCACAAAGCAAGCCTATGGAATTGCATTCCACATAGCCACTTTGCCGGGGAAAGATGATTGACACCTTGTTGAAGGATCATAATGGAGAAGCCATCAAGAAAGCAATCTAGGGCCATCGGCTTTGATGGTCTGTCAATTGCTGGCCCACTCCCCTCCTGGAACAATGGACTTTCTACTCAGGGACCTGAAGGAAAAAG